TAAATTTATATAAATAATTAAAATTATATGATTTAAATAAAATAAAACTTAAGATAAAAAATAAAATTATTAATACTGCATGTGCTTTTGGTGCATGCACTTCGACTTATCTCACGCCAAGTTGTTTAGGCAAAGGCATAACGCATGGTGCTGACAGCACAAAAAGTGTGTCAACACCATACACATGTCCGTTTTCCTCTCTATTTTGCTTATTTCTTTCATGGTAAAATAACAGATCTGGTCCTTTAAATTTTATAAAATGAGCACTCTGATCCCTTTACACATGGAGTAGTACGACCTCAGCATTTGTATCTATGTAAATTAGTGAAAGTTCAAAAAAGAAACGAAGTTAATTCACTGTGAGATGGATATACTGTTTGGCCTCGTTTGCAACAATGATTTATTTGTATCATTAAAAGGGTTGAAATATTTATTTATTTTATTTATAATTTAAAGATTTAAATATTATTTTAAAATAAATTTAAGAGTTTAAGAAGGCCTTTTTGCCAAAAGAAAAACCAACATGATTGAAAGTTGAAACCTTTACGCGTGGCTTAACGTGTTTGTGTATTCGTTGGATCCTTGTGACTTATTTTTCTAATGCATTGATGTTGAGCGCGTGCAACTAACAGTCCGAATTTTTTTCTTTAAAATTGTAATTCGTTCAAAAGAATCCAAAATTGCTTTCATGATGATATTTATTGGTAGAATTTTATATAAGTTAGATATATTGCACCTGACTTTCGGCCTTGTGGCATCTGCCACAATTGAATGTGCGCCCCTTTCCCATGGGTGGGTTCGAACCCTTCCATGACAAATTGTTTAAAAAAAAATGGATATATTTTTTAAATTAACATAATTTTTGAAAAAGAGAAAAGGGTTTATATCCAACTCATGAAGTTGGGATATGCATTTTTAACCAAACAATTTATAAGGTTAGGTGCAAATAAATTAGATATTGTTTATAAGAAAAAAAAATTAGATATTACTATTAGAGTATTTATAGTATAACTTAAATCAAATTTTAATATTTTTAAAATTAAATCAATTTAATTAATTAATAATATTTTTAAATCAATTCAATTTGCCCGGATGCCAATAAAAGACTTTCCGGTCATGGCACTAATTGCTTTAAAAATGGTCACCGTAGCCTCATCCCTTTTCTATCATATGAGCAGTGCTAGGTGCACTCGCCTCTTGCACTCTCCGGCAAACACTTCCCCTTTCATTGGGCCACGTAAGCTTGTTTCCGCCATGAAGTGCAACCTCTGACCAACCAAAATAACGTGACCCAATAAAAGTGAAAGTGTTGGCCGGAGAGTGCAGGAGGCGAGTGCCCCTAGCATGGCTCTCTATCATATTGCCAATAGATGGGCGTCATACTTCAGGCGAAACTTCGGAAATTGTTGTGCAAAATTCTCAGCCATATTGCAACAGGTCCGAGGGATTGTCCGTTTTGATACCAAATGATAAGATCCAGAAATTAAATGGAATGAAAAGGGAAATAGAATGGAGAATTGGAAGGAAGAAAGGAGGAAAATAAGAATATACATAAAAGAGAAAGTTAAAGGAATAAATTTGATTAATCTCATTCCATACCAAACTGATGTTACAGTAGTCTTTAATAGGAAAAACATAAACAAAATGCAATTAACTAAATATTTAGTCTCCAAACTGCAGCTAAATTAGCATTTTATCAATTACGGAGGGGAAGGAAACGAAAACGGAGAGGGAGCACAACGTTTTCGTTTCCAGATCTCGACTTTTATTTTTTTTCTTTTCCTATTTTCAATTTTTCATGGAAAGGGACAAAAAAAAAAAATTAAAAGGAGTCAAATAGGGGTAAAATAGTCAAACAAGACAATTCTGCGCATTAACAAATTAAGCTGTAGCTGTACCCAAAAAATAAAAAATAAAAACAAAAACTATCAAGCTCTGTCAATAGTCTCACCCAAATGAAATGCCTGCGAAATTATTGCATCTTCATTTACATCTCATTTCCCTAAATTGACGCAACCTTCAAGTCCTATCTTCTACCTGCTGCCCTCAATACCTCTAACAATTCACAGCCCTAGAATCTCTCTCTCAGAATTCAATTGTGATTGCATAATATGGCTGATACCGGCCTCATCCTCATCACTCCTCTTATGCCTGAGGCACTTTCCAAAGCAACTTCAATTGCTGCACAGGTCAGCTTTGCCCCTGTTCTGCAGAAGCAGTTGGCAGGTCTTGCTCAGTCGCTAACTGAAATTCAAGATGTTGCACGAGGCGCCGAGCAGAGGCAAGAAAGTGATGCGGCCATCAGCTTTTGGTTGCAGAAGCTCAACGATGCTGTTTATGATGCGGTGGATTTGCTTGATGAGTGTGATTATGGTATGCGTGTTCCTCAGAAGGAAGTTGAGACTTCAATCCAGCGGCAGAAACAGGTGCACGCCTTCTTTTCTATGGCTAAAAAATTTAAGATGATTAATGAATCTTTAGCTGAAATCAGAAAGGTGGTACCGTTTATTAATCTGATTATCCAACTTGGGGAGCAAAACAGTGCAACTGCTAGGCCATATTACGAGATGGTCCAACTTCTTGATTCTTCAGAAGTTGTTGGAAGGGAGGATGATGTCTCAATTATTGTCAACTTGCTGAAATACCGTAAGACTCGATATCCAATCTCTGGCATTTCAATAGTAGGTATGCCAGGAGTTGGAAAGACAACAGTAGCAAGATCAGTTTTTAGGAAGGCAAAGGAAGAAAGACTCTATGATGTAGTAGCTTGGGTGTGTGTATCTGAGGATTTTAATCATCAAAGAATTTTGGGTGAGATGTTAGAATATTTTCATGTCCATCCAAATAAAAATAATACAACTGCTGCACTGCTTCATGATCTAGGCCACCAACTAGAAAACAAAACTTTTCTTCTCATTCTTGATGATGTGCGGGAAAGAGATTCTCACAACTGGAGTGATTTTGCCTCTAGTTTTTCACAAATTGTGAAAACCAATGGGAACGCTATTGCCCTAACAACCCGTTGTGAAAGTGTAGCATCTGTGCGGGGGGAACAGTTTCGTATTCGTAGGTATGATTTGCAGAGTCTATCAGATGATAAATGTTTGGAGATAATTGAGAAGTTAGTTCTCAGATCATCTGCAAATGCTTTGATACCTTCAGAGCATTCTTTGCCATTGGTTGCAAAACAATGTGGTGGCTTGCCATTGGTTGCGTCTGCCATCGGAGGAACATGGAGCAATCAATTTGAGTGTAGAAACAATACAGTTTTATCTGTATTAAAAATGAGATTCTTCGATTGTATGCCTTC